GATGGGAAGTCCTTGAATGAATATTTGGGGTTCAAAGAGGAAGATGAAACAGAATACTTGGCGAAGCTAGCAATGGGTGAGGAGGTGCGTCCTTGGTTGGCCGAGTACTTGGCAGCCCCGGGCACTATTCCAAAATGGTTGAAGGCGGGGGAGAAGATTCTGAGGAACACATTTAATTTTGAGGCAAAGGGTTGGTTGACATTTGTTTGTAGTAGACTTGATCCCTCCACACATGATCACTCAGTTCCTCTCGCCCGGGCTGTTCTTGTGGCATCTATCATGGCTGGGCTTCCTCTCAATGTGGGCAACATAATCTCGAGGGTGATATCTACAGTCGGACAGGAGACCAACACAAACTACCCCTTCCCGAACACTCTGGCCATGTACTTTAGGGATTTGGAGGTGAATAAAAAGCGATTTGATGTCAAGACAAAGCCGGTGGCCCCCTATTCCTGGTATAGCCAATTGGGTTCAGACAACCCAAAATCCAAAAAGTACCAGCAACCCACCCCTGCCCCAACTGGCCAGTCTGAGGAGCCAGTTGCGGTAGAGCCTTCTATTGGACCATCCTCCATCCCGACCACTTCCACCAGTGAGCCCTTACCCCCAGGTCCTTCTACTTCAGCTGACCCAGCAATTCCTGTTTCAAAGACTCATCGGTTCACTGCCCACCAGCTCAGTCAGTCTTTAGACAGTCTAAACAACTGGATGTCAGCAGCGACATCCAAGTTGTCCACTTTGGCTACTATAGTTGAGGCACATTCAGCACCAGCCATTGCTCAGATTCCTCCGTCCATTGAGGAGACATTGAAGAAGCTCCTAGACAACCAGGAGAAGATTTTGGAGACCCAGGCCACCTTGACAACGGCAGTAGCCTTACATGGCAAGGCTTTGAAGGAGCTTGCAAAGGAACATAAGAAAATGAGAAAGTCGAGGGCGTCTCGGGAGTCGATAAAGAAGCTGCGAGTAGATGTGGACAAGCTTTTGGCTGATCAGATGCCATTAGACTTGCTATTGGGAGATCCAGTTCTAGATCCAGCAGCAGCAGAACCACAGCAGGAGGAGGAGCCTAGGCACCCAAGGAAGAAGAGGAAGCTTCCTAGCACTGAGGGTGTTGTGATAGAGGTGGCACAGGTTCATGAGGGTACCTCCACTGCTCCACCAGATGTTCAGACGGTCCATGACCCGGCCCCTGTCCTAGCAGCAGAGCAGTAGCAGGCCGGGAACCAGTCTAAGGTTCCTGCCAGTACAGCGGACCAGGGGACCACTGATCAGCCCATGCAGCCGGATCAGGCTTGAGGAGCCATTCTATATCCTTTCTCTGTTTTTATGCTTATTTTGGTAGTTGGCATTGGGGACAATGCCAGCTCTTATTCGTGGGGGTGCGCCCTACTGTTTTGATACATTTGGATAATTGTATATATTTGACTTTTAGTTTACGTTTTAGGTTTGATAGTTGGCCTGTATATAACTGCTAATTTTGGCTACTTCTCTACTTTATGTATATATTCATCTCTACTTTATGTATATATTCATCCCCGTTGTATATTCTACTCCCCATTGTACATATTCATTCGGTTTTTCTATTTTCGTTAAAAGTTTCGTTTTTAGCTTGGTATTTAGGCTCGTAGCCTTTTGTTTTGGTTTTGGCATTGTCAATAAGCCCTTGGTTTTCTTAATGCCACGGTTCTTTCCAAGGGTAGAGTGTTGTGCGAACCGGGTGGCTCTTCCCAATGATGGATGGCGTGACAACCTTCTTAAGGGTTTGAGTCCGTTTTTGATTTTTATCTTTTGATTTTGCGTAGTTAAGGGTACCTCAAGCAAAGCTTCACTTGGTCCTAACACATTTACCTTTGATCCTATGGTCAAAGACATAATGTTGTGCTTAGGATGGTGAAAGTTGTGGCCTTGAGACTCTTGTGTTGACCAAACAATCATCATGTGGCCTTGTTGAACCATTGTGCGCTTGAATCGTAACTAAGGTCGTTGTAGGTCCTCAACTCGATGTCTTTAGCAATCCTTGAGGGTGTGTGGTGAGAATTAGAATTTTGAGTCCAAGTCCCGAGCCGATGGTCTAGAACTTGCCCCGAATGTTTGTTGAGGCGAAATCCTAGGTGAAATTTGACTTGAGAAGTGATTATAGGCTCTCCTTGATCCAAATGCTAAGTTGAACAACTCCATAGCCTACCAATGAAATGATTCCCTAGTTAACCCTTTTGAGCCTTAAACTTCCTTCTTTCAAGAACCAAAACTACAAGCCAATACCCGTCTTTAATGAGACCCTCTCTTGGCACCCACATCTTCCCTTGAGTAAATGACAAATGTCTAAGTTTGGGGGGAGAGGCAAGAAAGGAAACAATGTGGTAAAAGGTACAAAAGCAAAACAAAAGAAAGGCAATGAAAAAGGAAGAAAAGACAAGACAAAAAGAAAGACCAAAGTGAATAAGGTCAAAAAGGGGATTCAAAGAAAACAAAGGTGAAAAAGCAGAAAAAGGAGAAATGTGTTGAATTGCATAAGAAAGAGTGACAGTGTGTCTCTCTAACCCCCTTGAAAAGAAGTAAACACTCAAATGAGTCAAGAAAGTGTGCCAAAATGAATCAAAAAAAGTGCTTAAGGGAAGATTGAACCCACTTGAACAAAAAACATGTCCTATCCTTGCCCAAAAGCCTTTATAATGACTCCACAAAAGCCCTATATGATCTTGAGTTGAACGGAACCTACATTAGTGGATACTTACATAAGGGGCAAGCATATGGTACCTAGAGCCGGATTTGTGACCTTCTTTTTGAGAGAATTGAGTAAAAATCCCATCAACCTCGGTTTGTGTGTCAATACTCTAAAAGGTGAGGTCCACTTAGGGAGAGTTGAGGATGTTTGAGTTTGGGTTCCAC